ACCCTAACAAATCCTAAAGTTACTGAAAGGAAATGGATAAAGGTTTTCACTAAAGATGAGAAGTTAATTAGTTGTTAAACTTGTGAGGAGGTCCTCACATTTAATAGAACTGAAAAGTCTTGTGCAGGTCAGACCTCATGCAGGGGTACCCTGTGACAAATGTGACACTAGACTGAGCAAAGATAAAACTGTTTTCCTGTTTTATTGAATAACACCTGTAAGTGTTGAGCACTCAGCTGGGCCACAGAATGTGGATGTTCCACACTGGAGCAGATTTTATGTGTCTCACCCTTGTTAGGGGCAATTAATTCATAGTCACTGACATGTTCTCTAACTTTAAATGCCTGTAAAAATATAACAAGCTCTAAGGTTACTATTTATTTCCCACAGCTCTTCTGTTAAATGCCAATACTGTGGTATTTATGTCTTTACTGTTTTTTATGCCAGCAAACAATATGCAAACATTTAGTCAAATAGACACTGGAAGATGAAAGAACCAAATGGTTTGTATTATACAATTTCCTTTCCTTGCTTCTTTGTACATTCTTAATAAGAACATTTGCTCTTCATTTAATCATTTAATTTCAATTTGTAAAAGTGAGAAATATTTTCTTATTGAGCATTCCTAATAGGTTTGCTATCTGTGTGTTTCTTTGAGACAGCTGGAAGATTCTATATATACTCCAAATTTTTCAGTTTTCTGCTTAATTTTTCAGTTTATAGATAATTACTGAGGGTGTTAGCAGATTTTGCAGAGAGACATCACGACAACAAGACATGCTTGTCTTAGCAGTCTTCTTTGAAGAGAATATCCAATTTCTATTCCTTTATGGTTTGGGGGGGGCTTGGTTGTGTTGCAAGGCACATTCTAAAAATAAAACATGAAAATGTCTAGCTGTAAGTATGTGGTGACTGCAGATGTGGATATGATATGCTCAGGAAGAACAAGGCCAAGCATTGACATCCCAACACTGTGGGAAACAGAACAGAGTAAGTGATCTTTTTTGGCCCATAAACCTGACTGAAGTTGTATTTGCAAACAGTCCAACTGTGGAAACTTCTGGGAAAAAACAGCAGGAAGCTGACACTCGTCTAGGATTGTGTGTAACAGAAGTGCAAGCTAACTCATGTTCAGGAGACTTGGGGGTGAGCTTTCTTCCCTAATGCTGAAGTTTATTTGCATTTCAGAGAGGTTTAGGGTTGTGTCTGGCTCAAAGGTCACACGATTTTCAAGTTTCCCCCAAAGAGAGGTGAGTTGCACACCAAGTTTAACATAGTGCAACCTAGAAAAATTAAAAAGTAAAAATGTTTGCTGTAGTGAGATGTAAATACAGGGACTTGTAGTAGATGAGAAGAATTTGCAGGACTCATTTGTTACCTTTTTCATATTTTCCATTGCTGCTCTTGCTCTGTGTATTGTGAACCTACCAGACATGGATGGTTACTGCAGATCAGCAGAGTCTTACTAAGATCTACCCACATTCCAACTGAAAAAAATCATCACACTGAATTATCAAAGCTTGCAGTGCAAGCAGCACAGAGTTCTAACTGTTGATAACAAACTGAGAGTGCTGTTTTATTCTGTGATGTTTTATTCTGTGGAATAGAAATCACTGTGAATGATCCTAAGAGACAATAAGGACTGTGCCACTGATCTCTCTGGATGGGTGGATCCATTTTAGCATGGCTGGCTTTTAGGTAACTGAATTAGTACTGGAAACTGGAATGGAAAAAATGGGTAATATAAATAAGTTAAAGCATCCATAATCATAGATACACAGTATCTGCTTAATAATAAAACCGAGGCAGGGACTTAACAACCCTTATAAAATTCCAAATATCTAAACAGAATAGCTGGAGAATTGACTTGAAAATCTAGAGTGCTTTACTTGTATTTCATTAGAAGAAAGTAATGGCTTAGTGATTGAATAATATTATGCCACATTCAAAAGCACAGTCTCCCACTCCCCCTTCATTTCCTGAAGTTTGAGCTCTGTTTAAATCACTGCAGAGCCACTTGGCACCCAGTCCTACTCAGACATGCCAGTTCATGCACTGCTCTGTGATCCAGCTCCCTCTCACGTGGCTGTGACTGTCTCACACCTTTCATGCTCTGAAAGGCTTCCTTTGCCTTCAGCTCTGAGCTGACTGGGAGCTACAAATGCAGAGCTCAGAGGCTGAGCAGCTGCAGGAGTTCCCTTGTCCAACGCCCAGCTCTCATGCCATACGTGCTACTGAATCTCATATTCGACACAGTCCCGAACTTGGAAGCTGGAAAGCTGCTGGAAATCATTGGTCTGAAACTAAAGCAATTCTTCCTGGAGTGATTTGTCTGTATTCCACCCTAGGATGTTTATCACAACTTTAACACTGAAGTTCATGGTCGGTGGGAATCTGCAAACTTTTTGATCTGTGTTTTTTGTGTGCTTCAGATTTTGTAACAAATATGAATAATGACTTTTTCTTCTCCTTTAGTTCATTTGTATTTCCACTCTGTGGAGGATTATACAGCAGCATACAACTTAACTAGAGCAGTTCACAAATGTATTTTCAAACTCAGTGTGGATTAAGATACAATTTAAGGGATTCCTTACTTGTCTCCACAGTACTTTTAATTCTTGCACCACAATCTTATTCTCAAAACACAGAAATCTTTGATTATTGGAACTATATGTAAATAGCTGTGGCTGGGGACTCAGTGTTGGTTTATGTAGGGTCAGACAGTACATAGAGTGAAACTGAGCCACTTAAACCTGCAGAGGTTAAAGTTTTTTGGTTTTTTGTAAATATGAATTTAATATTGTATTTAGCTAAAGTTCCTGGTCGAGGATGGTTCTTTAGGGAACCTGTGAAGATTTACAGCATTATGAGGGGAAGTGGTACAGCATTTCCTGCTTTTCCTAGCTCTGTATGGAGTAAGTACTCTGGCAATTTTACTGGCACTTCTTTCAGTTTACTATAAAATCATATCACAAAGAGCTTCACATTTTCCCAACAAAATAACCCCCAAAATTGTAATATTTCAATAGATTAGAGGGCTAGAATGACTCCAGCACTTAATCTGGTGGTTACTGTAGAGCTGTTCCAATGCTCCAAAGCTACTGGAGGATGCTCTACTTCAGTTATGTTTCATTAGTGTAATATAAGTGTCCTATTGTCTGGGTTTGTTCTGTTATTCTTCCCTTTAATAGCCACCTAAAAGGAACAGCCACTGAAATGCTAAAAATGAGGATGAATGACACATTGTAAGGAAAGAGGCTCTATGCCAAATTCCACACATTTACACTGCCAACATTTACCCACAATGTTGGCAAAGTGGAGAAACACTTCTGAGCTGCTCTGGTATTTATGAAACAGATAATTTTTTTTTTTCCTGGTAGGACAATGTTGGATAATCTGATTTTTGTCACCATCAGCTTAGCCACCAGTTTTAGGGTGACATTGGGCAAGACACTTTAACCCATCTGTATCTCTGGTTTCTCCCTCTGTAATATGGAGGTAAGAGTTACATGTCCCATATGACTCTGAGCCTGAATTCAGTTAAGCTCCAGGAGTATATTTTATTTTTATGTGAGGCATTATTGCATATGAAATGAATCATTTCTTAAATGAATTTAATACTTATTTATGATGTGAAATTTGTCCATAAAAGCAACACATGTTGAATTAACTGTTTTTACATCTATTATTCACTGTTTGCCAGAATCAGGTTTGACTGTTCCCTTCAATTGCATTTGACAAAGCTGACCATACACCCCTGAAGATATCGTGCCTCATCTGAGTGTCTGCAGCCATCCAGGAGCTGTCTGCACTGTCAGCTGCCGTGGGTTTGTGTCTTGGCCTCTCCCCTCCCCTCTGTCTCCCCAGTGTTTTAACTAAACTGCATTATCCTGTGTGCTAATTAAATGTATAGGGGCGTTTGTGCTAGACAATCTTAGTTTATGCAATGATCTCCCCCCTGCCCCTCCTGCCTTCTTGTCCTGGAAAGACCTGTAATGCAGCTTTTCCTGGTATTGTAAACTGCCAGCAGAGAGCATGAAGTTAGAAATGTGTGTTCATTGGGTGAGAATGTTGGTTTGAACAACGTGTGCTGAGTGTGTGTGCATTGGGAAGTTAATTTAATGTCAGAGAGTTCATACACAAGTTCCCCCTGAGCAGTGGCCTCAGGCAAAAAAGATAAATTCTTATTTTTTGAGAGGTCTTCCCGACAATAGGTAAGGAAAGCATATCTGAGGTCAAGCAGTAAATATTCACTGCAAACCTAACCTGGGGAGTTACACTGCTACACAGAGCCTGGTTTTCTGTGCAACTGGAATATTACACAGGAATAATCCAGCTGGGAGGGGACAGGGGAGATGAAAGAAAAGAACAATACAATTAGCTGTTCTTGGAAATCCTAGTACAGGTTCTCTTGGTTAACACTAAGTGTGTGTTTGTGCAGGAATGGAGGTCTCTGGGGTCACATAACTATTCATCTTGATATTTGTAGGAAATGGCATTAAGTTTTTTAAATTCCTTGAATAAATATGCAAAAATACTTTCCAGTGACATTCTACATCTGCTACAATTCTCTTCTAATGTTTTCCTGGTGTAGTTTAAGCGTCATGTAAGCACAAAGAGAAAGGTTTCTGCTGTTCCATGTGGTCAGTTGTTGTAGACAGACTTATTTCAGTTCATATCTAGTGTGCTCAGTCTTCCCTAACAGGCAGACCAGGACTCCAAGGCCACTTACTTGTAATGCTCTGATTGCATTAAAAACGGGGGTAAGTTGAATTTGCTTTTTGGTTTGTTTGTTGTAATAATCTAATTTGCCCTCCTATTTTTGCACTAATGTTTGTGTGGAACAGAGAGCATACCAAAGAAGAAACAGCGCTTCAGTTTGTTTTTTATTTCAGCTTCCTCTTACACTCTCTTTTTATTCTTGTAGTTTTATTTTTTTGAATGAAAATTTTAACATTAATTTAACTTTCAAGATTTTTAAAAAAAGTTTCAACAAAGTCTTTGTTTTGTTTTATTCCAGTACAGTGTTTTCTCTTGTGCATTGTTTGGACTTATTAGAACTTGTAAGCAGAAAGTTAAGATTTCTTTTTTGAAGGTCAGATACCTTCTGCCAACTACACATATTGTTGGTGAGCCAGATATCTCCAAGAGAAGGCTTAGAAAGGTGGTTTGGAAGTGTTCTGGGGTTTAGCAACTGCACAGAGTAGAAACTCATAAAATATATTATTTAGGCAGAGAAAGTTCTTTGAGTCTAAAGAAAAAAGTCTCTGGGGCTCAGAAAGAAAAGTAACAAACTCCAAAAAAATATTTTTTAGTTGCTCAGGGTGTAATTCTTCATGTATGGTTTGCATTGTCTGCAAAGTGCAGTATTTGATTCTAAAATAGAAGCACCTCAAGTAAGTCATTACTTGAAATTAATTTGGTCCTAAATAATTTAGGCAAGTTGAACCATACATAAGCCACACTTTTTTTTTAATTTACAGTGTAAAGTTTAAAAATGCTTTGCTGTGATGGCAGTGTAGAATGTGTACAGTAAGAGGGGGATTTTTGTGCAGATTAATTTTAGCATTTATAGTCTCCTGACTTTCAACTGACTTTTTTTTTCCAAATTGCAGTCTTAGATTGCTGCAACAGAACATCACCTCTATAAACTGAAATAATGTAATGAAATCTTCTGATTAAATCTTGTGGAGTCTTTGCATACCCAATGCTCTCAGTTTGAAAGGTGAGCAATTCTTAGTTTCCACATATTTCCCCTGTCCTGAAGCTGCAGCGTGTGGGCACGTGTGTGACTTTACTGCCACAGGAGCTTCTAAAGAAAGATTTCTTGTCCCAGGCTGGGCTGTTGGACCCTCCTGTGACAGTGGGACAAAGGACATTGTCGGGGATGGAGTGTGATGGGAAGGGCTTGAACACCTTCTGAAGCCTTGGAGGTAAAGAAAGGGGGGATAGAAAGGACAAGTGTGGTGGAGCAGGGCTGATGGAACTGCAGTACTGAAACACCCCCTAACGTGCTGCTGCAGTTTGAGGTTCTTTCTCCTCAAATATACTAAGAAGAGATTTGATAATATAAAGTAAAAATACAAATAACTTTCTTTTTTATTTTTTTTAAAAAAGTAATCTTAATTAGTTTCTGTAGTGTAGATTTCCAAGATCAGGGGATATAAAGATGCCACGAACTGTATTGTAGGAATTATGTGATCTATAAACATTACAGTAAAAACTCTCAGACTAACCTTTAACCCATGCTGACACTGAATTATTTTGATTTTATGAGTGACTATATGCAAATGAGTTGGACCTTGTGATTGATAATTCAGTGCTTGACATTGCTGACAGTAATGACAAGTCCCTTATGATGAAGGTACACATCAAAATGTGAGTGTGGCTAAAACATCAGAGTTGTTTTAAATAGCAAGCTTTCCCTTTGGTGTAAGGTACCAGGCAAGAAAAGTGTATTTAAACCAACTATTTTAAGTTATTTTTAAGTACAAAGCAAATTTTCCCTTTACAGTCTGGTGCTTAACAATTATTAAAGTAATAAATAAATGGGAATTAAGAAAATATCATCCTTATTTGCAGAAGAGCCAAATGATGTAACAAGTTACTTTTTATTTCAGAATGACCTAATTAGGACTTTAAGGCCAGGGTTTCCAAAGATTCATTGGTTTGGCCTTCCTGAAAACTTCTGCTACAAGCACATGGATATTTAAAATATTTCTTTCCCAAAAGCATACTGTAATTTCTTGGACCTCAATTTAAAAATACTGTGGTGCATCTCTGGGGACTTTGTGTAGAGTAAGTAAATAACTGCTTTTTATTAAATACATTTTAATGAAAAGACCAAATTAATAAACAGGACACCCAAACCAAATGCATTTAGGGCTGAGCTTAATTTTGCTTTTGCACAGGCCTCTGCAAACCCATTGATTTTCAAAATGACTGGGTCAATAAATAGCAGTATTTAATGAGATTCTGGAAACTAAATCAACTTCAGACAAGTCAGAGTTCCAGTCGTGTGCAAACAGGTGCAATTGAAGTGGCTGCAATGGATTTGATTACTGACATTTCTTGGGAGGCTGACAGAGGCTGAGATAAATCTTTTTGAAAGGCTGCACACAAGGGGCAGTCGACAGTGTGTTTCTCCCCAGAATTTTAAGACATCAGTTTTACCTCCTGGGGGAATTTTCTATTTGAAATGTTATAAATTTGCCATTGTTGCACTTGCCAATATTGTGTCAGATTTGCAGCATGAAATCTCCTAACTTACCGTGCATTAGCTTGAACTATTTTGCACATATACAATTGGAAATGATTAAATAGGGTTTCAGTTAAACAATCTTCCCCTGACAAGCTTAAGCAGAGTTTCACTTCAACAAACAAAGCCATTAGGAAGCCATCTGTTTGAAAATGATCTAGGATGTGGAATTTAATATTTGTGTCTGCATTACCTGCTATTGAATTGGTGGCTCTTGTATTCCTAATTATGTGAAACCCACAGGCAGGGATATAAAAATATTGGGATTTTTATAGCAACCGTAATAAATTGTTGTGATTGCTTGTTTGCTGCTATAAATTGTCAAAACAAGAATCAGCCAGCCTCCTAACTCACATTTCCCTGAGGAGCTGTAATGTCCACAGGCTCCATCGCTTTCCTAACCCATAAGTATTTGCCTTTTCCTAAGTTAAGTGGAGAAATAATGTCATACACACAGCAAACTGTTATAAACCTCCTGCTTTGTTACCTTTTGCAGTTTCCCACTTGGTACTTTACTTTGGATGGTATAGAAAGTCAATAAGCAGGTGGAAACTGGGTCATAGGAATCTTTCTGGTGCCAAAACCCAACTTAATGGAAATTGTTAAACATAGCTGTATTTTGTAAAGGAGCTTTGCTGTTCTCATCTGACTTTGGCGTAATATTCTGTATTATGTGTGTTTGAAACAATTGTAAATTAATGCTGAATCCATTTGGCTCTCATCAGCTCCTGTCAACAGCAAACACATTTCATACAGATTTATGTTCCCAGGAAATAGGAGGTCTTTTCTTTGAAATGTTACAGCTTTACCTTTACATTTTTATGATCTTTAAATTTCAATGTTCTTAATCTAGACAAGAGCTGAAACTGTAAAATTTGTCTACGAAGGCTGTTTATTAGGTTAATGCTTACTTCAAAAATTATTAAATAAAAACAGGTTTTTAAGTAGGACTGACAGTTGAATGGGTGATATCTAATGCTGCACAGAAGCCTTACATTTCCTAGTATTTTCATACCTGACTATCTGTCCCTTAAGACAGATTTTTTTGAAAGTTAGCACACAGCAACTAAGATTTGCTAGAGCATATCCTATCCTACACTAAAATAAGTACATTCCTTTATGCAGTTGAAATGAAAATCGGGTTTATATCTGTAAGCAAACAAAAAGTGAAATGATGTAGAGAAAATATTTCAGGAGAAATATTGTACAAAACAAGATATTGCAAGATTTTCCACGTGATTTGTAGAATGATTTGCTTTGAAAAGTTTGGACAGATGAGCAATTTCATTTGAGGACATAAATACCTTCTCATTTAGTGTGAAACTGGTGACAGTCCTTGAAATGCCTTTGACAAAGATTTCATAATCTCTGTATCAGAACTTGTGGTAATGCAAATTCATGATGTATGTTAATAGTTCCTTCATTAGCTTTGATGTCTAATTTTACAAAACATTAAATTTTCTGAGGGCTAAGTGACACGAATTTTGCCATGCTTTAATTTTTTTTTCCGAGTAATAAGTCTGAAAGAAGGCAGAGTGCTCTGAGTGAGTTACACTAAACTCTGTCAGATCTGATGATATAAAATGTTTCAGAGTTTGTTTGTCTGTCAGAGTCAGGGTGAGTTAAATCTGTATCTGGAATTTTAGCAAGTGAGTCACAGTGAGCTCTTCAATAACAAACCTTTTGACTGGGTGTCCCAGGTGGAGAAAAACTGGCCACTTAGATCTCACTGAAGAATAATTCTATAGTTCTCTCTTGACCTTACTTTTTTATTACTGTTTTATTGTTTCCTGTGTGGAGAGGGAAAAAAAAAAAAAACCCAACCAACATTCACACAGCTTCTTTTATGGTCATGATTCACCACTGTGGCAATCAAGCAAACCTTGGAAGGACACTGAGTGAGGCCTTGCCAGTGCTTTGAAGTGCAGGGCAGGCAGAGCTGTTTGGACGTGGTTTGACTTGAATGTTCTGCTAATGTGTGATTTCCAAAGTTCCTGCTTGCAGTTCTCCACCCAGAGAAAAAGAAGACAGTGACAATGCACCCTCATACTTTGTTTTCCTAAGAACACATAAGAAGTACGTAATAATGAAGAGGAGTTGAAAATACTAAAAATGCAAATTATTATCTCGAAAAGTTGTAGTCAAATGATTCTTATGAGTAAAGAAGTCAAGGACAAAATTAGTTACTTATAATGTGAGGAAAGCAATACTGAATGTTGTCCTGGTGTATTTACAAATGGTTTGAAATTCCAGTTTAGTAGTTTGGGTGTAATTTTACAATATGTGGAAGAATATAGACTCCATTAGGAAGAAGTTCTTGTCTCAGGCAGGAAATCTTCCTCTGGTATTTGGCTAAAAAAATGGGAAAAATAGACAAGCTCAAGTTTTGTTAAATTATTTAATGAAGAGCACTTCTGTAATGAAGAGCCATTTGTAAGTATGACTGTATGGAAGGTTTCCTAAAATCATCATAATCATGTTAACTCTTATTGAAAGTGAAAATTTCACAACTGACCTGCAATTTTAAACTGATGCAACAGTGAGAAGAAACACAGGCTTGTCCCAGGCTTTGTAATGTCCTGTGTGCTGGAAATGGACTGGACTGCTTTGGTTCTGTTCTGTCTGAGCCCATACACCTCCCACCTTTGTGATCTGTGTTGGAAGCACGTTTGTCCCCAGTTCAGTTTCCAGTCAGGATTGTTTGTCTTCTATTCCTTGGTAAATGTGAGACTTTACTGGCTGCTTGCACATGTCCCCCCCACCCCAAGGACAGCTGTGTCCTGACATTCTCTGAAAGATTAAACACATCTTTTCCTTTGGGCCCCCCTTTTACTCACTCAGGGTTTATAGTTCACCTCTTAGAAAGATGTGATAGTTGAAGTAGACAAGCACAGGGGTGCTTGATTTCTTAAAATCAATGATTCTTTCTATTACCTGATGTGTATTATACAGAGGAGAAAATACTGACACTTCCCTTCCTCAGTTTTGAATGTGGTTTTGGGCACACTCTGTGCATTCTGTGCCACCCAGCTCTGTACAGAACTTTTCTAGATCATGTTGCATACCTGCCTGTGTCACAATTTTGCAGCCAGTTCCCTTCTCCTTTGACCCACAGTTAGCCAAGCACTGCTCACTGTTCCTTTTCCATGCACAAGTTTTCTGTCTCTCTGGGATTCATGGCCTTTCCCAAACACTTTAGTTTTTGAGGTCCAGTTGTTTCATTTTTGGGGGAAATTCTGTCACTTCAAACCCTGTCTTGCAGGAAGAGTTTGGATGAATTGATTGCTGTCTGGCTCAGACACCCCACTGTCCTTTTCTTCTCCCTGTGCACTGGGAGCTGCCAGGGTGGGCTGTTTTCCACAGACCCATGTCTGAGACATGTGTGACTCAGCCCTGACAGCACATGGCTGATTTCACATCCCCTGAGGTATTTAATGATACAGCAGTTTCAGAACCACAGCCAGGATTCCTGCTTTGTACACAGATAGATTTCCCACATCATCACAGATGCTTTTTCAAAGGTATTTTCTCAAGCTGTACTGGTGGCATTCTGCATTTCACACAAGAGTTACTCACCTGCCCCCCTTCTTATGTGTAGAGTATGTAAGAGGTGTTAGAGTGGAATAAAACAAGAAAAGTGAGAATTATCACACCACATCACTTCTAAGTATAAAG